GCACAAGATAACGCTATCAGGGCCCATAACCTGTTGAAAATATTATGTTGCTAATCCACTTCAAAATATATAAGTTGCTAATCCAACTTCACAAGGAAGATAATGAAACAAGCAATGGCAACCATCAAGGTTAATTCAACGTTTTAATTTTAAGAGAACAACATGGAGTCCTCGACAAGAACTGCACAACAACAAGACGTCAATACACAATACAAAATGTGATGTGCGAAACAATGCGCAACATTCAGTATTTTTTCAATTTCCAACGATGTTGCCACTATCGGATGAGCGGAGCTCTCTAGTGGGTACATAAGGCGTCATGAGTGCTTTGAGATAAGAAGGCGCCAGGTCATGTAAGCGGCGGTAGCACAAAGTTGCAATTTTGTACTCTATGCGAGCGCGGACCGGCAGCCAGTGCAGCGCCCTCAGAAGTGTTTTAGCATTGTCGAATTTGCGTTTGCAAAGAACAATGCAAGCCGCATTATTCTGTGCTCTTTGAATTTTATCCAGGTGCATAGCATTACACTAGTCCATGCGTGATAACACAAATGCAGACATCAGCCTCTTTGGTGCATCTAACGTTAAGAAAGGTCTGCTATGACTAATCCTGCGCAGCTCTAGGAAAATTACCTTGCAAAGCATGTTAATATGATTTTCCATAGCAAGTGTTCTGTCTAAATAGACACCCAGGTCTCGCACTGTATGAGCAAACTCAATCTGCATACCTGAGAGGGTAAGTGATGTTGTGTTTTACATATTTTTGTTTCTGAGCAGTGGCAATGGGGATCAGCTCAGTCTTTTCATCATTCAATTTGAGCTTGTTTATGGTCATCCAGTTCTTAACTGACTCCACTGTCTTCTGTGTCGTACTAAGAAGTTGAGGGAAGTGAGAGGGGATCACGGATTGATGAAGTTGTGTATCGTCCGCGAACATGTAATACAGCATGTCAAATTGCTCGATCACTGCACCCAGTGGCTGAACGTACAAAGTGAAAAGCATTGAGCCTAGGACCAAACCCTGGGGTACTCCGAATTCAATTATAGATTGCTTCGAGGTCAAGCCGTTTGAAATAACTGACTGGACCCGATTTGTCATATACGAGTGAAACCATCTCAGGACGGTATCTGTGAGACCGAACGTTTTTGCAGACGTTGGAGCAGTATGCCGTGGTCAAGAGTATCCAAAGCTGCCGATAAATCGAGTAAAGACAAAATGGCTACCTGGCCCTCATCACAAGACGACAGAAGGTCGTTTATGACGCGCAACAGGGCTGTCTCAGTAGATTGATGCGCCCTGTATGTTGACTGGAAAGGTTCAAACAAGTCACATTGAATGAGGTGATCCAGTAGTTGGCGGAGGACTTTTCCTAAGATTTTGGATATAAATGGTAGATTTCAGATGGGGCGATAATTTTCCATCACATTTGGGTCAAGATTTGATTTCTTTAAACAGTGGGGATACTATTGCCTCTTTAACAGTTGATGGAACAATACCTATTTATGATACAAGTGATGATGGGGACTATTTCATCCAGACATTCATACAACAGCCCTAATGGAAGAGGGTCGAGTGAGCATGACTTTCTTGGGGTATTAGTCAGGATTTTGATCACATTCGATTCACCGACCTTAACAAATTCAAAACAAAAAAAAATATGTATGTTAGTTAGCAGAAAGCGCTACATATAAAATATTTTAAAGCCATGCATATTTGAATTAGAACTACATTCTCATTCCTTCTCAAAAAATTATAAATAATAGAGTATTATCTCGCCCAGGTTTATTCGGTGTTGTCATGTCTAACATGAGCGACATGTCTTAAACTGAATCTTTGATGGGAATTCTAGAAAAATTCCCCTGAAAATTCCCCTTCATTATCGATTGACAAGTTTTCCCTATGAGTCGAGCGCCCAGCTATCTGGCCTCGATTGTGAGTAACAGCGAGTCTATTTTTAGATTGGTATTGAGCTACACGTCAAAGTGACGTTGCGCTATGAAGGTTTCGAGCTCAAAAAACGGGTTGACTATTTATAACCAATGTATAACAAATATAAAATGAAATATTGATAAATATAAGCCTTTGGTTTATTTTTTCAAGAATATTTAGGAATCTGTATCTTTCTTTTTCTTTCATTTTAAATAAATCTAAGGTTATATATATATATATATATATATTTATATTTACATATTCATATATATTTGTTCGAGTATTTCATCACTACTCTTGAGAACCCTGCCACTATTGTTAATTTCTCGAACTTCAATTTCATTCGCGAAGTCAAACAACGCAAACAAAGCTTTCAAATCATAAAACATTATGAAAACGAAAATAGGCTTCCATAAGCTTCTATAGGTTTCTAGGCTTCTAGGCATCTATAGGTATCTGTAATCAACTAGAGGCATCTATAGGCGTATAGGCATCTTATCATCTATAGGGAACTATAGGCATCTTTAGGCATCTATAGGCGTCTAGGCATCCCCATACATCTATAGGGACCTATAGGCTTCTATAAGTATCTGTAGGCGTCTAGGCATGAAATCATCTATAAGGACCTATAGCCTTTGGGGATGAAGCGTGATTTTCAAATAAACATTATTATTATTATTATTATTATCTATAGGCATGTGTAGGTTTCTAGGCATTTATAGGCATCTATAAGGACCTATAGGCTTCTATAAGTATCTGTAGGTGTCTAGGCATTTATAGGCATCTATACAGATTTAGTTGACGTCAATACAATTGTTGAAATGAGTCATGATCCGTATTCTATCCACACGTCATCCCTACCTCCCACCTCCTGCCCCCTCCCACCGCACACACCTCTCTCACATCGACATTAACCCTCCCACCGCACACACCTCTCTCACATCGACATTAACCCTCCCACCGCACACACCTCTCTCACATCGACATTAACCCTCCCACCGCACACACCTCTCTCACATCGACATTAACCCTCCCACCGCACACACCTCTCTCACATCGACATTAACCCTCCCACCGCACACACCTCTCTCACATCGACATTAACCCTCGCACAGGTGTTACTCGCATTATATCGATTTTTTTCCTCATGTCGGCCAGATTGTGCCTCGAAGCGTGGACGTGTGTATTTTTGCCTGCATAAATACTTCTACTTAAACGCGACAACACTTGACGCAACTAGTTTGTTAATAGCCATTTGATGCTAATTAAGTCAAGACACGTCAGGAAAGGAACATGGAAAAAACTCTATGACCATTTTTAAAATCTAAATTTAAGAGAAAAAAACTTGAATTGGTGACCTCAGCACATGACACAAACATCAATGCTTGGTAAGCAACGCCGTTAGCTACACGCGTAGCCAAGCTCATCCGTGTCGTGTTATATCAGTCTTCGATACCAACGGCAAAGCGATGACTTCTTTGTGCCTTAACGCCCGTTTTGGAATTTCTGGGGGATTTCCGACGTCGAGAAAATAGTCCGCTTTACTGCGTCTTGATATGAGGTGTTCCCACCAGTGTGTCATTCCTCGGTTGTCAACCAGTTAGGGTTGTACTCAGTGGTTGAGAGGGTGAGTACACATTTTTTCACAGTGTTTTGATTCCACCCCCCCTCCATTTTTCAAATGGACTCATTTGGATATGTGCTTTAGATCATTTGATCACCATCAATTATTGATTGATTTATTTAAATTTTACCATATGAATAATTTAACTCTAAAAGACGTTTTTTAACTCTCTATGAATTTAAAAGTGTTCACTTTAAAACAGTTGTCAAGAAGTAGATAACTCCTTTATAACTAAGCTACGGCAATCATCTTTTGGCTCTTCACCGCCGTACGATCATTTATAAAATTAACATGAGGTTTTCAACTGAAGACCTATCTATGCCCCTCAACTCTAAAATCTAACTTCCTTGTACCGACACATGTTCATTTCTTTTCGTTTTATAGGAACGATGTATAGTAATTTAACTTAAAATCATGTACTTTTTTTTTTTCCCGAACTGTTAAAGCCATTGACCGAAACGCTGAAATGTGTAGTTTATTCATTAATTAATGTTTAAATCTATCTTTGAACTTACACCGATAATCTGGTTCCCGTTACTTTTCTATCTTTTCTCGTGTACCTATAATCTGGTTCCCGTTACTTTTCTATCTTTTCTCGTGTACCTATAATCTGGTTCCAGTTACTTTTCTATCTTTTCACGTGTACCTATAATCTGGTTCCCGTTACTTTTCTATCTTTTCACGTGTACCTATAATCTGGTTCCAGTTACTTTTCTATCTTTTCACGTGTACCTATAATCTGGTTCCCGTTACTTTTCTATCTTTTCACGTGTACCTATAATCTGGTTCCCGTTACTTTTCTATCTTTTCACGTGTACCTATAATCTGGTTCCCGTTACTTTTCTATCTTTTCACGTGTACCTATAATCAGGTTCCCGTTACTTTTCTATCTTTTCACGTGTACCTATAATCTGGTTCCCGTTACTTTTCTATCTTTTCACGTGTACCTATAATCTGGTTCCAGTTACTTTTCTATCTTTTCACGTGTACCTATAATCTGGTTCCCGTTACTTTTCTATCTTTTCACGTGTACCTATAATCTGGTTCCCGTTACTTTTCTATCTTTTCACGTGTACCTATAATCTGGTTCCCGTTACTTTTCTATCTTTTCACGTGTACCTATAATCTGGTTCCAGTTACTTTATTTATCTTTTAACTTCTACCGATCCTCAAAACCTAAACTGCTTTTGAAAACATATCTTGCGTCTAGGTCTCATTAATTTTATATCTTTGAATTGATACCCAACACTAAACCTCTTTTTAATTGCTATCTCTTGTCTATGTCTCATCAAACGTATATCTTTTAAACTTATAGCTGGCCATAGCCCTGACCTGTCTTGTAATTCATAGGTGAACTGAACTATTTTTAAATAAACCTAAACATATTTTCTACGTTTTTAGTTAATTTTATTTTGCGATAAAAACGCTCACGAACCATTATGATCCCCAGGTTCAACACTAACGCTGCTATCTGAAAATCTGAAAACAATGGATGACTCGGACGTCCTGCCGACCATTTCCGGTCATGACGTCATCATGGCGTACGGAGGTGAACACAGGCACTACGTCCAGCACAGCGGCGACAGACGGTGCTGCACGTGCCACTTCTGGTGCCGGACCACATTGCTCGTACTCAGCTTTCTCGTCTGGGTAGGTTTGCAGGGGCGAAACGTTTGAGTCAAGCCAGACAGGGTCGTGCAAACGGAGGGGGGAGACAAGGGGGGGGGGAACGCGAAGGGCGCGAATATCAACGAGGCGCAAAAATCATTACAACATAGGGCGTTGATAATGATTTAAATTTCAACGATACAAATTCCCTGCACTTCACAAAGACAGTCGGAGTAAAATAAAAAAATTTTTTTTTACTTTTCTTTTTCATATATTGGTGGGGCTCAAATTTCAAGCTTTTCGCCCTGGCGCGGCTTTGCTCTGCACGGCATAGGCCATAGGCGCCAAAACTTACTCCACAATCCAAAGATTTCCAACTAATAAAATAGATACATAATTTTAAAATTAAACAGGCCATGAAAACAAACTTTGCGTATAAATACATCAGACAATGTAATATCCCTGAACTATGCTAACACTCAAGTGACCCCACGCGCTTTTACACCACAGATTTATTTCTCAAACAATTTTAGAAAAAGGAAGAAAAAAAAAGAAAGAAAATATTGCGCAACAAACTTAAATAAAAAAAATCATTTAGCACAGTAATCTGGAATTTTATTTAATCTTCCCCATGAAAAACTGACTTTGACTTTTGGGTATAGTGCTGAAGATTTGAAAGTTTGCGTTGTGATCGTTAACAGGTCTATGTGCCAATTTTCAACTCCGTTAGTTGACTCAAAGTGGGTCCCTTAGCCGTCTGAATTTTTTTCCAGCCAGCCATCCAGCAAGCGACGAACAAAGTGAAGTTAATAAAAGGGATTTAAAATTATATCGTGGAAGAAGTTTTTCAGTAAAAATGTTCTTTAAGAAATGGTTTAGATTCAGCTTTCAATTTGTAAATAAACCCACAAGGAAACAATCGATGCTTTGCTCTCACTTGTCATTTCGTCGCACCATGTTCACAGGGTGCTGGGGTGACCATGATCAGCCTCGGGGCGTGGGCGCTGGTCAACAGCTCCGGACTTGAACTTTTCGAGACGTTGCTGGCGGAGCCAAGCTGGATGCTGATCGGCACGGGCATCGTCATGGTGGTAGTGGGCGTGGTCGGGTGCGCCGGAGCGCTGCGCCTGAACATCATATGTCTCAGAGTTGTGAGTTAATTCTTACGAGGCTGTGTCTTTTTTCTGGGTACTTAACTGGTTTTTTTGTTGTTTTTTTGTGGCTAAGTTTGTCTGTTTCCTTTTCTGTGAGGTTTTCGCATTACCTGATTTTTTTATTTTTCTTCTTTTGATTATAATACACTCTTTATTAAGGTCAACCAGGAGACTAGATTATAATGTACTCTTTATTCAGGTCACTCAGGAGACTGTAGATTTAATGCACTATAGGTCACACTGTAGATTGTAGATTGTAATGCACACTTTATTTAGGTCACCCAGTAGACTGTAGATTATAAGGCACTCTTTATTTAGGTCACCCAGTAGACTGTAGATTATAATACACTATTTATTTAGGTCACCCAGGAGACTGTAGATTATAATACACTCTTTATTTTGGTCACCCAGTAGACTTTAGATTATTATGCACTCTTTATTTAAGTCACCCAGTAGACTGTAGATTATATTACACCCTTTATTTAGGTCACCCAGTAGACTGTAGATTATATTACACCCTTTATTTAGGTCACCCAGTAGACTGTAGATTATAATGCACCCTTTATTTAGGTCACCCAGTAGACTGTAGATTATAATGCACCCTTTATTTAGGTCACCCAGGAGACTGTAGATCGTAATACACACTTTATTATTTTTCCTGGACACAGTTTATGGTTCTCGTGATAGCGGTATTCGTCCTTCAACTTGCCCTTGCCGCTGTGGTGTTTTTTCTCATGGATGACATGCAGAGTCGAATGTTGGACGTCATGAAGGACGCGGTAACCAACTACGACAGAGACCTGGACATCGCCAGAGACGAGGCCCTGGACTATTTACAAAGGGAGGTGAGCCTTTCATAATCCTGCAGGCCATGAACATAACCCTAACCCTAACGCATGAACATAACCCTAACCCAACCCTTGCAGGCCATGAACATAAACGTAACCCTAACTCCTGAAGGCCATGAACATAACCCTAACCCAACCTCTTCAGGCCATGAACATAATCCTAACCATAACCCCGACAGGCCATCAGCGCATATTTTTCCAATTAAAGTATCTCCATATGTCGATATTACCTTAATCAACACTACTTGCCAAAGGTTATAAAGTGTTTGGTTAGGGTTGGGGTTAGTTATGACGTTTTAGGTTAGGGTTAGGATTAGTTATCACCTGTTAGGTTAGCGTTACGGTTAGTTATGACGTATTAGGTAAGGGTTAGGTTTATGGTTAGTTATGACGTGCACATTTAAAAAATAAAAAGGATAATGAAGATTTAAAAATCCCATAAAAATTGAACTTCTGGTCTGCACCACTCTGACAGAAAACGCGTTCTTAAAGTGATCTACTGGACTTTGAACTCGCTTGTTTCATCGAACATTCTTAAGTGAAACGAGCATGGCCGTTTTCAAGACAAGACCTTTTGACTCAAGTCTCCGCTTACACCCCAGAGCCAAAAATGTTAATACAAAGCCTTTTAGTCTCTCAATACCTCACATATTTAACCGTACACATTTTTAGCTCAACTCTTGAGGCGGAGTGCGATTTAACACTTGACACCAGCTTAGGATTGAACCAAAAGAACTGGGGGCTTTTTTTAACAAAGCGACATGTAAATATCAATTAAAAATAACGGCCAGGTGCTAATAATAATAATAAAAATAATAATACGTCTTATATATCGACGGTATCCCAGCCTACGACTGGGCTCACTGCGCTGTACATAAAAATTTTATCAAAAGAGACATAATCATGACATTAAAATAAAATACATTTATGAAATAAAGAACAGCAATGTATATTCACATACCCCACACCATAACTTTTACAAGGCAAACCATGGACGGCAGCCAGCAAGATTGTTCATCGGTCAGAAGAGGGGAATCAGTCAGGGTAGTATAATTTAAAAAGATATGGTTTGAGTGCAGTTGTGAAGGCCTGGGTGGTTGGTATATTGCGTATGTTTAGTGGCAAAGAATTCCATTGTTTGTGGGCGCAGAAAGAGAAAGATCGTTCACCATATGTTTTAGTGTGTGTCTTGGGAACGGACACAATACGCGTGTCTGCAGAGGAGCGAAGCTGTCGAAGGGGTGAAAGACGTTCGGTTACATAGGAAGGGCAGGAATCCAAGAAAAAGTTGTGACAGAGAACATACAACTTGTAGTCAATGCGTGCTTGTATAGGTAGCCAATGATAATACATTTAATAGGGGCGCCGAGTAGACAATTCAAGTAGGTAAAATCCAATAAGACCATGCGGTTACCATTTATAGTTCATCCAGTAAAGTAATTAATTATGAAGATGTTTTTAAAAGTTTTGATACACTTCTGGTGGGGGGGGGGGAGGGGTGGAATAATCTGGAAAAAAAAGGAAAAGGAAAATAAGCTTTTACGCCATTTCCCCCTTTTTGATAATTTCCCTCTTTGTAATAAGTTCACTCCTTTTAATCAATTCCCTTTATTTCATATTTCCCTCTTTTTCAATCTCCCCATTTTTCCCCCGTCTCCTCCCCAGTTCTCATGTTGCGGCGGGTCCAGCTACTCCGACTGGGAGTCCAACAGGTACTTCAACTGCAACAGCTTCGTGTCCCCTTCCTGCTGCGGTGTGCCCAGCTCGTGCTGCATCAAGTCACGTGACGAGCATTGTGGTGACGGAGTGAGGAGTCGTTCGGTAAGTCGTTTAGCACTTTCCTGGGTAAGTTGTCTAGCACTTTCCTGGGTACGTTGTCTGACACTTTCCTGGGTACGTTGTCTAGCACTTTCCTGGGTACGTTGTCTGACACTTTCCTGGGTAAGTTGTCTAGCACTTTCCTGAGTACGTTGTCTGACACTTTCATGGGTAAGTCGTCTAGCATTTTCCTGGGTAAGTTGTCTAGCACTTTCCTGAGTAAGTTGTCTAGCACTTTCCTGAGTAAGTTGTCTAGCACTTTCCTGAGTAAGTTGTCTAGGACTTTCCTGAGTAAGTTGTCTAGCACTTTCCTGAGTACGTTGTCTAGCACTTTCCTGGGTAAGTTGTCTAGCACTTTCCTGAGTAAGTTGTCTAGCACTTTCCTGAGTAAGTTGTCTAGCACTTTCCTGAGTAAGTTGTCTAGCACTTTCCTGAGTACGTTGTCTAGCACTTTCCTGGGTACGTTGACTGACACTTTCCTGGGTAAGTTGTCTAGCACTTTCCTGAGTACGTTGTCTGACACTTTCCTGGGTAAGTCGTCTAGCATTTTCCTGGGTAAGTTGTCTAGCACTTTCCTAGGTAAGTCGTTTAGCACTTTCCTGAGTACGTTGTCTGAAACTTTCCTGGGTAAGTTGTCTAGCACTTTCCTGGGTACGTTTCCCCCTGGGAGCGTGTTAGAATTTAAGTAAGGAATTAGAAACAAGGGGGCTAAGAACAAAAGCTAAACAGAAAGGTGAGAAGAACGAAACAGAGTAATCACCCCTATCAATGAGAGAAAGCTGTCCCTAGGCAACGGTTTCGTCCCAGCTGCAGCGCGAGCTAGTTGCGTTGTGGAAACCCTCTTATAGGGCGTCCGACGCTTTCCCGGGATGGGTGGGGGAAGATATTAGGACGTACATTTTCCATCCCAACTCCTGAGAAAGTCGATCGAGTGCACTGTTTAAACACGTAGTGTCGGACCGACCGGATGCCTACTGGTTGGGGCGGCCCCCAGGCGGGGTCCTGGTCGAGCGCCCAGGCGCCCGGGTGGGGGGCCTGTGTTAGGGGCCCGGGTTGGGGCCGTCCTGACGAGTGGGCATCTCCAACGTGCCGCTCCGCGGCCCGATACGTTGGGCCGGGGAGGGGTAATTTGGGGGGGGGGGGGGCGTAAAGAGGGCAAACTCG